TCGTGATCAGTGGTGAAAAGTTTGATCTCTTCTTCCCCTTCTGGCTTAGGATCCGAGTCATTGCCATCATTTGGTTTCCTTTCTGCAGTCGAGCTAGCATTTTCCGCCTAAGAGAAATGAGAGGAAATGAATGCTTAAGTTTCTTCCATTTATGTTCACAATGTAGGGCAGAGCATGTAAGACCTAGAAGCCTTATTTTGGGATGGAATAATGTAACTTTTCTTTGCAGTATATCTGCAAGCATGGCAGTAAAATGAATGTGAAAAAAGAAACCAACTTGCATTAATGTTGACTTACAAATGGAGGTGTAACGTATTTCATTTCGGTCTTGACAAAGCCACATATAGTGCATATGATCCCAATCTCCTCGTCAAGTTTGTATGCATGGAGGCAATTACTGTCACCTTCCTTCTCGGCGTTCTTTTTAGGAACTTGATCCTGTGAATCGATGCAATTAATAATAGACGACAAAAGCCGTAGATGTGTGTTAAAAAGACGATATATGATCTCCATTTTGATACCTGATCTTCATCAAGAAGATAAGCTGATGCCAGACATAGTTCCATTTCTCTCCACAGCATCTCGGTTTCTGACAGTTCACCATCATCCTCTACTTCAAACTGATCCATGTTCTTAGCATGGCCCTGGTCACCTTTGGCTTTAAATCGCTCCCATTGATCGATGATATGGGTCTCACTTTTGGATGAGATAGTAGAATCAATGTTCTTCATGTATGAATTTATAAGCTTGTTGTATGCACCAGCACTTAAAGCAGTCTTCTTGAACGGCTTTCGCTCACCAAACTTATCTCTCCTGGACTTGAAAGATCTGAATGATCTCCCATTTGAAGAAGCTTTCTTACTAGCAGCAGCAAATTTTGGCCCCCATCCACTTTGGAAAACCATGTCCTCAGGCTCGAAGTTCGCCTTTCTCGAACTGAAGGAAACAAAACTATTCCTCTGGGAGCCTGAGGTACCTCTCTTACCATAATACCCGAATGAGACCTCATCCTTGGGCTCTCTGGGTAGAATTTCAGGAGAATTTGGAGGAGGAGAATCAGGTTGTTCATGATCATCAACATCTTCTGGCGTAACTGTATCATTTTGAGCAGGCATGGGAACCGGGACGATGGCAAGTTGAGGCTTTCGGCCTCTTTTCTTTGACTTACCAACCTTGAACTTTTTTATTTTCATGTTATCATCCTCCAAGAGTTCAAGCTGAGGAACTTCTCCTTTAGCCAGCTTTCTACCACCATTTCCACCACGGGCACCAAAAAGGTCTGATAGAGGCACATCCAAATCACTATCATCATCACCATCATCCTTCCATTTATCTGTCTTGTATGGCATCTGTCTAACCCACCCGGGGTCTTCTCCCGGAGCAACATCACCACCAAGGAACCGCTCCGGTTGAAACCTTCTACGGCCAGATCGACGCAGTTTCAAGTTTGCTTCATCAGTAACTGGAGTAGGAACCACCAATACTAATGAAGAACAAGAAGCAGCTTCTTCATCTCTAAAATTAGGACAGTGTTGTACAACAACGGGTGTCAAAATGTCGTCCTCCACCTTGAAATTTATGAAATTCAGTTGGATATCGGGTTTCAAAGTCTTGCTATCCTCATCATCAGCCCAAGTTTGGTAAGCTAATTTGCTTTGCACTGACCTCACAATGAAGGCAATTTGTTTGAGAACAGATGCTGCAAGTAGCCATGTGAGCTCATGTGAGAACTTCCCCAAAAAAAGTTTAGTTCTCTGTGCTACAACACAGTCTTCCGAGTAATCCCAACGATAGAATAGACCCTCACAAGGGATTTTATCGAGCTTTTGAAGGATATGGATCTTGTCGATTCCTACTTCATCGGTTTCTTTGCTAAGTGTTGCTTTCTCCAGACCAAGAACACCTTGGTTTGCATAGAGCTTGACAGAGAACTTGCATGAACAATGAGACTCGTGATGTGGCTTCCTCTCTATAGATTTTATTTTAGCATCTACCAACACCTGCCGGTAAGAAAAAGGAAAGTAAAAAACAGACTTCAAATGACAGCTCTTGCAAGTAAACTGCTGAACCATATGCAGTAAAGATACGTTTGTTTGTGTTAAGAAATGCATACGGCATAACTCTAATATGACATACCAAATGAAGCTCGAGATACAATGACAGATTATGAAGACATACCGGATTTCTAGTTTCTCCAGCTGGACTTTCTTCTTGTAGAGCAGATGAAAGCACACAGACATCAATACCTGCCCTTAGGAAGCAAATGCAATCAGATGCAGTTGCTGGCCTAGACCTTATTCGAAGGTTTGACAACTGACCCTTCTCCTCAACTCCCGGGTGGTGATCTCCATAATGTGTGATCATAGCCCCATCCCTAATCTCAATCTGCCTCACACCTCTCCACGAGCCACAGCAGAAGGCCTCAAATGCTGTTCAAGTAAATAATTACTTGTATTAACATAACAATATATCTACTAAAAATTACATGTGCAAACTGTCATCTCATTCCCCAAGATGCTGTTGACATTACAACGCGAAGCAGTTCTCGACGCGCTAAATCAGTCACTTTGAGCTCTCCATTAAGCAAGCAGAAGTGGGTTTCAATGATTTACTATATAAAACATTTTCATGGTAACGAGGTAAGAAAAAGTTGAAGGAACTGTGAATGCTTACGCGTTTCATGGAACGCATGCCTTGATTCGTGCACGCGCCTTTTCTTCATAGCCTGCGACTAGGATTACCAATTCGATCCGTTATAGCTGTCTTGATATAGAAGAAGCCAATTACAGCTGTAAATGCTTCCAAATCAACCTGATTAGGTCACCCAAAGTTGCTGACCACCCTGTTTCAATGGAAGCATTGACTCATTCAAGTTTCTGAAACAACACAGCTAACAACAATATAGATTGTCTGACATAAGAGAATGTCACACAAGTGAGCTGGAAAAACACAGACCCAAACCAATCAACCTTTTCATTTCAGAAACAACCATGCCAGATAATCCAAACCCTATATTTATATATGAAGAAAAGAGTAAACACATCAACATCAGATAAAAATGGAATCCATGGAACGGTAAAAAATGGAGAAAAAACTAAAAACAGGAAGAGCAGCTTTCATTACTCCCAAGAGAGAAAAACATCTCAAACCCCTCTTTTTTACCTTTCTTTCCCCCACTGTCTCCCCTTTGCTGTTTCTGTAAAAGTTAACAGATATGACTGATTCAACCTTCAGATTTTACTCCAAAAGAACCTACAATCTGTTTCCCAAAATAAGCAATCAGAACATGGGTGACATAAACAGAGTCATCATCTCATAATCATCAAGAAGAAATGCAGCATTCACTACCCAAAAACCAGACAGTCAGACAGACTTGGCTTCAAATGGCAAAAAAATGCAGGTCCCAACACAAGCATCTACCAAAAGCCACACACAAATCAGCCAAAAGAAAAAACAACCACAAATGCCCAGATAGAAACAGAATCCATTTCCCACCTTCAAAAGGGGAAGGGATAGTACAGTACAGTACAGCATAAACCCTCCTCATCACTTCCTCTTCAGAAACAGAAAACAATAAGAAAAGATTGAATCTTTATGCATTGAAGCCTTCATCATCACAAACCCACATTGAAGAACAGACAAAACAAAGGGAAAAGAAACGTTTCTACCTGAAAGGAATTCTGCAGCAACCCACGAAGTGATGATCAGGAGGGAATCACCACTTTTGAGCAAAAGGGTATCAGGACCAATGAAATGGAAATGGTGGGTGGAGCTGGAGATGCGAGATGACTCATTCACTCACTCAGTCCACTCGATTGAGTGAGTAAAGTCGGTCCTCCCTCAATTTGAGTGAGTACTGCTGAGTAGTTGTGACACAGAGACCCAAAAAGCTCAAAAGATACAATAGAGCAGAGCAGGCAGCAGAAAGAAAAAAAAGAAGGGAAGGAGGCAGGTAAAGACCTAGGCGGGCAGTTTCATGACGAAGGTTACTGAGGTGGGGTCTGTCTGAGAATCTAGGGACTCGTGTCACTTCAATTGCATGGAACGGGGAAAATGAGGAACTAAGATGAAGCCAGGCAATTCAGTTCAGGTTCCACATGAAAATGTTTTACAAGTGGATAACTAAGGATTTGGAACCAACTGCCCCTAATTTTTGTTTGTTTGTTTGTTTAAGAGGAGGAGAGAAAAAGGGTTTGATCAGAGGGCTGTGATTCGAATGGGTGAATGAATGATAAGAGCTGCTGAAAAAAATGGAGATGGTGATTGATGGTAGACAGAGTAGGGTAGAGAGTGAGGTTGTATGGTAAAGTGACTTTCTTTTTCCTTTTGGTTTTGTGGTGGAAGAGTTTTAGTAGTGAGTTTAATGCAGCCGGAGAGAACAGAAAGGAAGATTAATAAATGCAATACTGAGAATATATAAAGGGAAACACAACTACACAAGTCAAATTAATCAACAAAATAAACAAGAATACCCCCTGTTTTAGGGAAGTATATCAGGTGAGGTTCATGGTGGATTGACTGAGCTGGCTGTGGTGGTTGGTTACTTTGCTCGAGCAACTCGAGTTGGGTAGGTGGGGATTGGGCAAAACCAGGTTTTGATTCAAAAAATTACAAAAATATGTTGTGAATAGAATGATAAGAAGAAGCCTTTATGTGCTTGTCGTTATATAAATTGTTTTACTAAGATAAAATGGTTATTTTAAAATGATCGATCGTTTTATTGATATAAATGAGCGAACGAGGTTGAGTGGATTAAGAGACAGTTGGGTGGATCCCACTGTTTAAATGTGTTGATTTGGCCAATACCATCGCGTCACTTTTAAACGTGTGTCAGCAGTGCCGCTGCATTTAATTGGTCCTCGTAGATCTTGGATGTCAGAATGACGCCTTCTTTGGACTGACTCGCTCGTGGGATTTGTCCACAAAGGAATGGAGGAACTTCATCATTGTAGACTTTGACGAGATTCTGAACATCTCTCCCACCTTCCTCGATACTTTTTCATCATCGCCAAGTAGAGGCTGCAAGTTTCTTAGACGGAGGTGTACTAAAGACTGTGTCTTTGCACTGTATTTTCCCACCGACGAACACTTGTGGTTTGGTAATGTGCTCAAGGTCTTTGACTAAGACAACCAAGCCACATGGGCTATCACGTAGACCAATTAAATACAGTGCCACTTATACAGCACTTCTTACAGCGACACTTTAGTATTGACCATTTGGTTTTGTGCATATGTCTATATAAGTTTATTGAAATCAAACCCAAAAATAAGATCAAATTTTATAGGACGTCATAAAATCATTTTTGGAATAATGGAGTGTCTCTTGGTAGGATGACCCTTAACCCACCAACTGCCCTCTACGCATATGAATTAGTGCAAGTAGATGGTTTATGATTCATTCAACTACACACTGGGTAACCTTTATTTTTATACAGTAACTTTTAAAAAAGGTTTGAAGTAGTAACAGTTAAATAAATTGGGGAGGAGAATTTGCCAAACCAAACCACCCAAAACTCTCAATTTTCTTTGTTAACTAACATCATATCTATGGTTAACACTTCGGTTTGGTTAGTACATTGGTTTGGGGTAGCTATCTTGGCCACCTTTGGCTTGCATGTTGGGGAATGGGAATTAATTACACGAATTTTCTCAAATTGGAATGTTTTCTTTCAACTCTTATATATATTGCCACCTCTTTTTGTCCAAAAGATTAGGCCACATTAATTAGGATGATATTACTTTCCTAATTGCAGAAATTGATTATTTCAGCAAAATTGTTGTAAACGAATCAACAAGTAAATTGCTCACCATTCTTGCTCCTCCATATACCATATACAAGGTGAAATTATCTTGGTTTTTACTTTTTACTCACTTTCCTGTATTGCTAGATTAGTCCTTTCAACTTTCAAGGCATAATTTTTTTTTTTTTTTGTTCATTTTCATATAATGACTAAAAGAGTGAAAAATAAATTGAGATTGTACCATTAACCCGCTTAATATACATTATCCATAAAATAAATTCTTTAAATGAAATAAAATTGTTATTACTTTTACTTCTCTTACGACTTACCTTACCCTATAAAACCATAACTCATTCTTAACTTTTACTTCTCTTATTCTAAACCCTATCGATAAAACCATCTCTCGTTTTCACTCCATCATGAGTTTTCCGCCATCATCATTAATCATGTTGCTCCCATGTGAAACTTGACCTCAAAATTCCATCTCAATGAGAGGATTTGTGTCATTCTTTCTGATGTGTGTTCTTCATGGTTAGAACTTATAACAACTATTTCTCCAAATGGCTCCTCTTTAAGAACATGATTGTGAACGTCTTTTCTCCTATTATACGCAATCAGTAATCTCTTATTTCAGATTTCATAAGATCACAATACACGATTGTCACAAGTTCGATTAACAGTGAACGACGACCAAGTGCGTACCTTAGCCTTGTCACAGCATCACGATTGCTCCATCCATGACCCTGGAGCCAGGAAGCACTACACACGAAAGCATTTAGCAGGCATCATCATCTTTTATTTTATTCCAAGAACCCATATATCAGATCATATACACCCTCACTCACTACTCTCAGAAAAACTTCTCGGATAGAATCTACAGTAAACGTTTTCAAAGTCTCTGACCACTGCAGGAACACGATCTACAGGAGCAGCAAAAGTTAAAAGAGAAAAACCAAGGCAAACTCGGCAGCCGATTTCTCTAGTCACTAAAAAACTCGTAGAAAGAGAATCAGCTCCCTCCGGAAAAAGAAGAAGAAAACGCATCGAAAGAACAACGATGCAACCGTGAGAAAACCAGAATAAACACTTCTTTGTCCATCACAGGTCCTCAAACCCCAAGTCGGACAAGCCCAAGCTGAAGTAACCCTGATCATCCACAGGAACAGTATTATCCTCCTGCCTCCCGGGCTCCAAGAAGTCGAAGTTGAAATCATCAGCAGCAGCAGGGAACAATGGTACTGGCTCCTTGTGCTGCGATCCACCAATGAATCTAGCATCTTGCTCCTGTATCTGGTTGTTGCCAGAAAACAAGCAGCCGCCGCCACCACCGTTGTTCAGACCCCCTTCGAGTGGCTGATTCTCCAACGCACTCAGCAGATCCTCAATACTAAACATCTCATCCATCGTGAAGTTCTGCCACTCGTAATCTTTCACATCCAAGGGTGCCTCTTTCACTTCGGATTTCAAGCTCGCCTCATCATGGCCAGAGAACTCGTTCTTGTTGTCCAACATTTGACACTCTTCCTTGATAGCAGAAGAAGGTGAAACTTCAACCACCAAGTGAGTCCTGGCCTTCGATTCACCTTCCCCATCAGGAACCACCCAGTCCTTGGCATCATCTTCATTCTCGCAAACCTCCGAGTGATTCGACGATGTAGTAGTACTGATCGAAGAATACCCACCAGGCGTCGTGGCAGAATAATAACCGTTCGACGAACTGGTGGTGGCTGCCCTTGAAATATCGGGATGGTTCAGCCTGGCATAAGGACCATACATGGCCCTAGCAGCGTCATCGTAGGCTAGAGCCGCTTCATAAGCAGTAGGAAAAGTACCAAGCCACAATCTAGGACCTTTGTTGGGCTCTCGAATCTCTGCAACCCATTTCCCCCACGTCCTCTGCCTGACCCCTCTGTACTTGCACTGCGAATTCTCCGGCCCGCCTTTACCCTTCATACATCCCTTCTTCGAGCCCTTGGCCGGAACTTTCCGCCCAGACTTCTTGCCAGTGGCTCCTCCATCCGCGCAGGTATCGAGATACTCGTTGTACTGCTTCCACTTTTTAAGAGTCTCCACAACAGATTCAGTTCCAGTTCTTCGTCTCCTCTTCCTTGTAGAATCCGAGCAAGCTGCGGTAGAGGCTTGGTTGAAGCCACCCATGTCAGAGGTATTGTCAACAGCAGGAGATCTGCAGAAAGAAAGGGGAGAAAGGGGTAAATATAATGAAAAGCGTCTTTAAGTATGTTGAATTAAACGCGTGTACACACTCTGATTACTTGGAGCCGAAGCATCGGAGCCCAGTTGGTATTTTCCTTTTAATTCCATTTTTATTTTTTCATCTACCCTTTTTTGCAGCGAGTATATCGGCTAATTACAAATAAAAGCCTTTTTCTGTTCCTTCAGCCCCAAGCTGGGTGAACAGTCCAAAAACCAGCTAAGAACTATCAATGCTCACGAATCTTCGGCAACAAGCAACTCATAAATCCGGATAGCCTACAAGATCGGACGCCTGTTCTCCGAGACTAAACAGGCAGCGGAACAAATGACTCCCAAAGCAATTGACGGGAGGGACAAATTTTGAAACCCTAAATCCCCAAATCGTCTAGCGGAGCGAGGAGCCTACCAATGCAATTCAAGCTACTAATCGAGGAGAGAGTCGGAGATCTCAAACCATAAAACAGAGGAAAAGGGGGAAAATCAACGAAGCGGGAAGGAGGTTATCGATAAACTAACCTGTGAAAGCCTTCAGTGCACATGTAATCAAGCAAGCGAGCAGGAAAAGAAGCCGAGCTCGACGCGGAAACCAGTCTGGCTTTCTCTTCAGATCAAATTATCTGGCGCGTAAAGATTATAGCCTAATTTTGTTGTTCTAAATTGATCTTTCGATTTTTTGGGGTTTTTTGGAGAAAGCTTGAGAGAAGGATAGAGTTAATTTACTTTTCGAAGAGAGGGAAGGAAAACGATCGAATCTTTGTAGAAGAACCGAGAGAGAGATATTTATAGGCTTCTCTAGATATTTCCGATATTATCCCTGTCGCATGGACAAATATTGTTTTGGTACCTAAATTAAACCTTTTCTAACACTTTGGTTTCGGAACTTATTTATTACCATCTTAAGTACGGATTTGTTAACGGATTAGAACTTATCATCTCTGAATATCTAAACCATTTAATTTAATTTATTAAGTTCCAAAATATGACTCGACAAATCACCCCTTCATTTACATAAGCGACTATTGAAGCCGTCTTCTTTCACAATATGATACCATGACGATCACCCATTTAATGTTTGGTTTCTTGCATCTAACCTGTCCACCACATAACCCTATATTTGTTCTTATGGCGCACCATAATTTCTTCAAACAATACAATGAACCACATCAGATAAATCCCGAATGTTTTTTTCATATCGCTAATATTATTATCGAATGGCCTTGTGAATTACGATCTAACGCCACAATTTTTGCCTCAAAAGCCCAATGTTTGACATAAACTAACTGGGTTTAACGCCTCAATATTACTGTTTTTACATTAGCAGGGACCTCATGTAGAGCATAGGAAACTTAAGGTACTAGTAATCGGAAACAACAAAACATAAGGTATTTCGTCGAGAGGATAAGATAACGTCTTGACCGTTGACTGTCTTCTGGGCCGATATATTGATATTGATTATCCAACAACGGATGAGGTGGCCATTACCCAGCCCAGCGCGGCACCTCTCGGCAACCGAACCCATCCTTATCCGAACCGTTCAAAAAATCAACACAAAGCCTCAGTGGCCCGAACCTTCCCGAACCCAAGACGAGCCCGCGCCATCGTTGCTCGTTATGCCATTTAGCCCTCTCTGTTGATCTCAAATTACCGTTTTGCCACGACTACTCAGAGCGGTTTTCTTTATTTTACAGTAGCCAACAAGCAACCACCACGTGGGCTCCCGGAGACCCGCCACGTGTTCCTGACCACCCAGTCCCGATGCAGGAGGCGACAGTCGGGGATGAGGGAGGCGTGCATGTGAGCCACGTGGCACCATCTGGCCGTCTTCTGAGACTGCAACGTTGGGAGGCTGTCGTCATCGGTGACCATGCACTGACCCACGCCGCCGATAAACCGAATTTGGTGTCGTCATTCGTAAATAATTGGGGCTGCCGGCTGCGGCCGTGGCAGTCGATGTCCGACAGCTCCTGCTTCTTTTGTTATGGTTATCGGGTACTCTGTTTGTGATCTTGTGGATTTCCACGCCGGACAACCGACCGGCCGAAACGGTTGGTACACGGCGGTTAGCTGAGGTAATGGCTTACGTACGAACTTTTCAATTTCGGGTTTTTGTCACGTTCCAACCCACGATCCTGTTCTCGTCATCTACAGATAAGGGAAACGTTGGAAGTTATAAAACCATATATAGAAAGGAAAGTCTGGAAGTTTTTATGATCGGACACATCGAGAAGCTCTCTAAAATCTGAATATCTAAA